GTTCTAAAACGTGTTCTCTATGATCCTTACGATTGTTTTATCCAGGGCTCTCTTCTTCACATTCTGTCAACACTCAAACATGAGATAGGGTTTCAGGAACTGTAGACTCCTATTTACGTTATTCGTTTCATTCGTAATAGTTTTTCTCGCAGCCTGGTCGGTCTTTCAAATTAATTTGGTTTTGCCCATACAATTGCTCTTTCAGTGTTTTCTTTTCAGATCATGGCAGAGAGCTCCAAACCGAAGCAGAAGGATGAGGAAGGCAGCTATGACAAGGAGGTAAGAGTCTTCTTAATGGGCTACTGCTAGTGCATGTACAACTGGTGCATGTTGATCTGAAAAGAACTTCCATTTCAACGGCAGTTTCGTGGGTTGAGCAGTTTTCTAGCAGTTGTTTTGCTCCTAGATCGCACGAAAGGCGTAAATACTACAGCGAGGCTGTTCTTCTATTAACTTCACAACCCTATAAGGTAGGAAGCGTGGAGCGCATTTTGATGCCACAGTGAAATTTACTGTACTAGATCTGTTGTTTACTAGTTTGTTAGCGTAGTTAGGAATCCTAATTTAGTTTCAGCTAACGCACAACTGCTTCACAAGAGCACCACACTTTCAATCGCATCAAAAATTGAAATAGCGTAGAGAAGTCCTGCTCATATGCGGCCGAAGTAGTATCACGGAATCGATAGAAAAGTGCAGAAGAATTCCTTATGCTGCTTTGCCAGACCGATGTTTGAGTTCATCTCGTGGGATTCCGATTTCCCCAATTCCATGATTCTCGCAGGTTTTTTTAGTTAGTCTAAACATGGCTTGAACATTTTCACATTTCTATCCGCCTTGCCGACAAAAATACCCTTGCGTTCGTTCGCTATTGTGATTTCCACCAAGCCAATACAAATCAAGCCTGCGCTGACGGAAGAACAATGATTGAAGCGAAACTCTTTGTAGGACTCGCAGGGTTCCAGCGGATTCCATATCCTTAGTATTTTGTCCGAAATCAGGAGCAGTGTGATGATCGATGTGGTCGCTAGGTGGAATAATGATAAGAAGGACAAAGTTTTCGCCGTTGATAATCTTTTTTTGGATGCGGCATGCATTCTGCTTCCACCGAAAATCCTAGTGTCTTACTGAATGCTATAAGGCCTACACCAGAATCTTCGGGAGTCAGCCGATGTGCGTGTCCGTGTTCTCTCTCCCAGACGATTTCAGTGCCAATTCACCATCCCCTGGAATGGAATATCCTCAGGGGACGATAAATTGGTTGACCAAGGCCGACTCAGGAGCTTACCCCGTGGTTGCGCCCATGGTGAGCAGGCCACTTGTCACTGCCTCACCCAAAATGTATTCTATGGCCAATGTTACCTTTTTTTCCTCAAAAATAATCAGAATATCTAAGAAAGACCAACTAGCGGTACTGCAAGCATTAGACCATGTAACACATGAAGTCTAGATCATCTCAAAACATCCGGACATGGAACTGGCACAACTTCGATTTCTGGTTAATCACCCCGAGCTCGATAAGGAAATCAAGAAGCAGAAGCTAGACGAACTACAAAAGGTGAGCACTCGGGATCTTTTTGACGCACTCTCCAGTTTCGCCTATTCGTATGCAACAATGCCATCTTTTAGGCCATCAAGGAGTACGACATGGCGCCTTTGTACCAGATAATCTGCGATGAACTTGGAGTTGCAGTTGATAAAGTACAGATGGCAGCTATGAAGGAGAACAATACTAAGCGGATCAAGGAAATTGATGCAGAAATAGAAGATGCCGAGAACAACTTAGGTATAACTTTCCTTCTTGGTAGTCGTTCCCTCGCCCATGAAAGGCACAAATCGTGTTTGAAAATGGGGACTTGTGTCGATCAAGAACTAATGACAAGTTGGTAAGTGAGCGGTAAAGAAAAAGCAAAGAACCCGCTGGAAATTTCCCATATAGACCCTATGCTACACCGCGCTTGTACATGCTTAAGGCGAAGAAAGGGCGTGGTCGGACGAGTTCTCACCAGTTGGGGTCAGCTTTTTCTTCTTGTCACCTCACCCTCACCATTGGAAATGGAGAGAGCTACTAGGAACAACCCACCACCAGGAAGCTTTTAAAAATGAAAATTGGCTAGTGGGCGAAATGGGGGCTTCGTCGCGAGTGGGCTGCGCTTCCCTCACATATCTATGTGCTGCCAAAGTAGTACAACCTCCACGTTTGAAGTCAGGACTACTGTCCAAAGGAGGTACCTGAACATCAAATGAACGCGGGTGGGTCTTTAAAGTAATTCTTCCACTTTTGTGCTTTTTTCAGGTAGTACTGAAGTCCGACAGGCATGGTTACGGAAGTTCGAATACTATTGTCAAATTGGAGACAAGGAGAATGTGTGCAAAACGTTTACGGTAACTGAAAATTTTGCTATCTTCCGTACGCCCTCAGTACTTCTGCATTTTTTAGTCTACATACGATAAGTCAGTTGGAATGGGTTACCGTATCGATCTCGTCTTCAATATGATTCGAGTTGGCCTGTTTTTCCTTGATCACAGCCTGATTAATCAACATATCACTAAAGCCAAGGAGCTTATGGAGCAGGTGCGCAGTTACTTCGTTCTGGATAGCGGGGAGTGATATAGCCTTGTTCGATGCGGACGAAGGCTGAGGCGTTTCGGGGAGGTTACGGGGCACCTATCAACCAGACGTGCTCTCGCTGCGAGTGTCCAGTGTATTTTCTCGAGGCATCTACCAGTCAAGTAGTTGAAGGGAGAAGGTAAAGGAGGAGGGTTCGGAGAAGGGAGGAAGGAAACGAAGGAAGGAGGAAGAAAAAGGAAAGAGAAGAGAGGTCTCCTGGTTGACAAGTGCCCTGAGACGGTTTCGGGGACTGTATTTGTCACGCCGCCAGCCCGTCGTTCAGCACTGTGGTCACGTACCAGCTTTCACAATTGCTTGGAGAACAGGCTGGCATCGCGCCAAACCGTCGCTCCTGTCCGTGAAGCGCCCCAGCAACAATACTATGTGCCTGTAGAGGAACCAGTGTGTGTTTACGTCGGCGCCACAGTAACTCGCAATTCCCAAAGAGAGCTGGAACTCTGGGGTGGATGAGCCTCCGTACATGTTTCAGTTCTCCATAAACAATAGGTGGTATACCCATTCCTCTCCCTCAGAAGTCTGCTGCAGGCGCTGACGTAAAACTGCAGAATGGCTCTCCCCGAAGCACATAGCGCCTGCCATTGTTTTTCTACTTTTTCCACCATTTCAGTCTTTTTAAGGGCGGTGACTGGGAACGCAAGAATCGTTTACGTTCTTATGAAGCTCTTTACAAAATGTCTGTAAGAGATTTTGCTGGAGCCGCTGATCTTTTCCTCGAAGCAGTCCCTACATTTGGCTCATACGAGCTGATGACATACGAGAATCTCGTTTTCTACACAGTTGTAACCTCTTTGTTTGGTAAGAGCTCTACTGGTCGAGGAAAAAACTGTGAACTGTGTTGTGATACACTTTTTGTTTAGCCCTTGACCGCCCAGACCTGCGAGCTAAAGTGATGAAGTGCAACGAAATACAAGAACAGGTTTGTGTTTAGCTTACTATTCCACTTTCGTTCTCATTCCTCGTTTTTAGCTAACTGGTGGTGGAGCTAACGGAGCTTTGGTTCCTGTCCGAGAATACTTGGAGGCCTATTATGGATGCCATTATGATAGATTCTTCGTCCAACTTGCAGCATTAGAGAGCGAGCGAGTGCGTTTCTAATCTTGAACTCTATTTTCATAACGTACATGAATAAATAAATATTTTAGTTCAAATTCGATCGTTACCTCGCTCCTCACTTCAACTACTACTCACGTGGTATGCGTCTTCGCGCATATGAACAGTTCTTGACCCCGTATAAAACTGTGAGTGCTTCTGCAGCTGTTTACTATTTAGCCGGATAGTAGCTCTAGTTTTCTAGAAGCACAAGGCTGCTTTGTGTTCCTTTGGGACAGTGTCAGGAAGGGCAGGTGTAGCCCGCTTCTGGCTGCCTTGCTGTACCAATAGTGATCGGTTAGGCCGCATTCAGACTTCGCAGTCGCGCGATTGGACACAGCGACTTCAAACTAGGGGCGCTCCATTGCCAATCATTGCGCTGCTGCAACAGTAGTATCAAAATTGAGCCGTGTTCACACGATTCGAATTCTGACGTTATAATGCCTTCGTGCACCGTTTGGCGTACAAGCGCACTCCGCGTGCGCCGTGGTCGCGGCGATCGGCAAGTCTGAACGCGGTTTTACTGATCGATTCTGGAAGAAAAAAAAACTGGAGTTGAAAACGCCGGGGTGGTACGTCGCCCCTACTAATTGCGACGACATCAACTGTATCGACTTTCCAACGCGCGTTCGTGGTTATCTTCAGCAATTTATCCGGCTGAGCCGAGAATTATTTGGGACTGAGATCCGGCAGTGTCTTCTTCCTTGAACTGCAACGATCCAAAGAAGCCGATCCTAAATGAAATCGAATTAGCAGTGCCAACGATCCGACAATTAGAGGCGGAATGCGGTCGGGAACGCGACCGAATCATTCGAGTCGCGTAGTACAAACGCGCCATAGTTTGCGAGATCTGCCACTGGCGTACGGACGAATCTGTCCTTGGCGCTTGATGCGCTTTTCATGAGGCAGTGCTGAGTCATAGTGTCTATATTTGTTCTTTTTAAGGTGCGAATAGACATGATGGCTAAAGACTTCGGCGTTTCGCGCACTTTCATTGATAAAGAGCTACATCGATTGATTGCAGCTGGACAACTTCATTGCAGGCAAGCTTTTCATTGAAGTGCAAATTCATAAACGTAATAAATTTTTCGCCTGTTTCAGAATTGATGCAGTCCGTGGTGTTATTGAGATGAACCATCCTGACTCGAAAAATTATTTGTACAAAGCTGTCATAAAGTGAGTGTCTCCATAATCTGCTCCTTTGCGTAGTTCGATTTGCGGCCACTTTCGTTGTTTCACTACTCGGGAATGTCTCACCGTTCGGGAATGTCTCACCGTCTTGCATACCAAAAAGGTTTCCAACATTATATGCTAGGATGTTCGGATCGCGGCTACATATAGTGCAGTTCGTTGCGGACGGTTGGGCGTGTCAGGCGGGATGAGTTTGGCGCGGTGCCAAACCCGTTCTCCACAGTTGTTAAAGCGAGCAAATGATATGACTGTATCATATCGTTCGTATTACTCGTTTTCTACCACTTTTTGTCGCATGCGCGCTTCAACAAGAAGGCAGAGAACGGCTTTGACGGGGTGACACACTCATACTGCCTGACACGCCCAACCGTCCGCAGCGAACTAGAGTGTATGCGTGCATTGTTTTTTGCGATTTACAGGTGGTATGGTGGCTTACGCTAGAAATTTTTGTCTCAAAGACATGATGACAGTTTTCGCATAGCATAGAACTTGCCCCTCAATATTTGGCCGGACCAGTAGACTTCCAATCAGCAATGCCAAGGGGGAGAGCGCTGCAGCAGTACCTATGATTTTTGTGTTAATTTTTGTGTAGTGAAGTCCCCACGATACGGACTATAGCTCGGTTCACTGTATTTCCCATGATTTCGGCGTTTCAGGGATGGTGATATCTTGTTGAATCGTATCCAGAAACTCGCTCGAGTAATCAATGCCTGAAAAGACAAGCTCTTGCAGAATGCGGTCTTTTAATAAAGGTCTCGTCACAATCGTACCTTTTAATTTAACAGTTTGAGTCAGGGAGTGCTCACATTATTTATTCGCTTTTGCCTGCAGTTGGATAATACATTGAAGATCTGCATGTTGTATTGTTCGAATAAATATTCGAAATTCCTTTACTTTGCTGATCTTTAAACCTTGTTAACTCTCAGTGGCATACTTCTGTTCAAATGATATATCGCAAACCGTAGAGATCATGTCGTAGAAATCTTGAAATTTAAGTGGAGTCGGAGTGCGCTAAAATTCTGCGATTTGAATGCGCGAGCCATTTGGTCATCCTGATAGCGCGAATAAGAGCGGGCTCGTTCCACCGCTGGTCGCTGAACTGCCACAACTACACCCAGGAACATGGTGGTTGCGTACTTGTACTACTGACATGAAGTCTCACCGGGGAACCTCTTGTGCTAAGTTGTATTCCTCACAAATTTTCTATAACACATAGGGAGATGAAAAAGGAAGAAAGGTTTTCTATCCCAAATGTAATTGAAAAAGCAGTAGTTCAGTGACTAGCGGTGAAGTTGATAATAAGACGTTAATAGTGCGTTCATAGTTCACACTTTGATCGCGTGAGCAGTTTACTTGCTCTGATAGCGCGACAGAGGGCGCTTCACCGCTAATCACTGAACTACTGCTTTTTCAATTACATTTC